CTTTAAATGGCTCAGTTCACACCCATATCCAGGGTGCTGCTTTCAGCCTGGGTCAAAGAAATTTTATTTTCAATGGGCAACAGTCATGTCAGAGATTCACAACTTTTCAAATACTGAGAACAATTGACTGCTTATTACACAGCCAATAATGGGAAATCCATATTACAACATCTAGTATTTTTTTCAGTGAAAATTTCCATAATCATTAATGAAATAGAATCTGCCAAAACCGATTTCATGTCCTGTTCCTACCATCATTTGACATCTACCCCACCCCTTCCTCAGTCCCTCTAACATACCTGGATCCTTTGCTACTGCCTTGTCTCTCTTCACTATGCAGGGCTCTTTGTTCTGATTCACAGGTGAGCAGGACTCACTGAGCAATGTGAGACTTGCATATGGGGAAGGGATCCTTCAGATGTACTTGGAACTTTCCATGGAACAAAACCAAAAGAAGGTAACACCTGTCAAAGGATAAATATGAAGAAGAGAGAAAATATCATGAAAAATGTCTCTTTATCTCCGAGGATCTCACTTTATGGGATGTGAAACTTCATTGACACACAGCTCACACACATGCAGAGTGGTCTGTCCAAGAACCCTGAGAAAGAGCAAGGGAGACAGCAAGAAAATTACTCTGACCCTCAGAACCAGACTGCTGCACTTCTCCAAGAGGAGATCTCTGTCTAGACATTCCCACTCCTCCTACAAGAAGTCCACAGTCACAGCACTGAATGTCAACAAACCATGAAATAAAAAACAACACTTTTGCCATATGAGCATGGGCAGAGTCTATTTCTTGAAGGAGACATTTTTCTGATGTAGGTGTCCAATCATAGTTATTCAAAAGGCGCATTCTAATTTTGTGTTCATCTTAATGAGTTTTTCTATCTAAAAAAAATAGTGTGGCCTGATAATGTCTTCTCACGGCATGTATACTGGGCTTGCCTGGACCTTGTCAGGGGAAAAACACTCATGACAAATGGCTAACTGAGGTGCCAATTAACATTTCAAAGCAGACTCTTTTTTTTTTTTTGCCTGGTGCTCTCTTGGCCTCTAGGATCCAAGTTCCTCTCTTGGCCTCACCTCTCTCCCATCTTCTCTTCATTTCTCTCTCTCTTCTTCTCTCCCCTCTCATGGACCAGTTCATTCTGGGCCCTTCCAGATGCCTCTGGCTATTTTCTCCCTCATACCTACAATAAACCTTCTCCTCAAACACATCTTCGAGCAGTTGTGTCCTCATTTTTCATTCAGACCTAAGGTGTAATATCAACAACTAAGCATATGAAGACACATTTCGGAATTCTGTGTTTACAACACAGTGCATACATCTCAGGAAAATTAATGGGGAGTAAAACTTTGCTCAGTAAATGTTAATATTTACAGTCATAACTGTGGTGCTTTGTAACGTACATTTTCTGATTCAATCAAATCTACAAAGGTTCCTCATGTGACTAATATCTACAAAGCACTCTGGGGAAGTCAATTCCTCTGGCCAAAGCCCACTCTACTGAATAGGCAAGTAGTGGAGTATGGGAAGTTAAGAAACCATGGATGAATTTCAATTCTAGGAGCTTTGTAACTAGTACAGTATCAAAGAAACCTCGTTTGCAAACTATAGACACTGCACAGGCTCTACAAGATTATTTCGTGAAAACATTCTGCAACCATAAAAGAAAAAAAAAATCACGATACACCCCACTTCAAAGGATCTCAACCTCACCGACAACGGAAAGATATCCACAGAAGAATTTTTTGTTTGTTTGTTTTGGTTTTTTGGCGACAGGGTTTCTCTGTGTAGCTTTGCGATCCGCCTGGCTCTGCCTCCCAAGTGCTGGTGTTGGACCCCAAAGTTTAGGGTCTCAAGTGGGCGCCCCAAGAACCCAGACTCCACAGTCCAGTTGATGCAATAGCAGGAGGATTTATTATGCTTCTATATAGAAGGGCTCCTCTGCTCCCAAGAGCAAGAGTCGCCTCTTACTGCAGCCCCATAAGGGCTTATAAAGGAAAAACCCACAAAAACCACAAGATTACAATTCCCATACAATTTCATTTCATAAGATCATGGTCTGGTTACAGAGTGATCACAGAGGGGGTACAGTTAAATCAACAGGTACATTCTTCCTGAAACCTCAAGGGGGGGATATCAGGGCGGGAGTGGAGTTTACACAAAGGTCACAGTGGTCCTTCCTGGAACATCTGCAACTATCCCAGTCACAGTTGAGCACACCTCTTAACAGAAATCTCTTTACATTGTTGTATGGTTGCAGGGGAGATTGAACAATGGCTAAGTCAGGTTGCCCTTGGAACTAGATTTTTAGTTTCTCATTTC